CCACCAGCCCGCCAGCGACGCGGCCGCCACCAACCTGCTCGGCCGCCTCGTTGAAGAGAAAGAGGACGGCGGAACCGGAAACCCCCAGTCTCCTCTCAGAGCGCCTGCGCACTGAGCACGCTGCGCGTCGACGTCACAATCCACGCCGCACGTCGTTCCCGCCCCAGGCTTCGTCCGGCGCCATGTTGGGTGCTGGCAAGAGAAGCCGAACAGCGGCTGGGACTGTCGGGAGCCGCTTCCGGGTGGAGCTGCGCCTCCAGGCGTGAGTGACGGGCGCCCCTGCGCCCCCCGAGGCCGCCCTCCCGTTCCTCAGCCGGTCCGACACGTTTCTGTTTCCTTTAGGAGGCGTGGCTGCCGTGGTGCGCCAGCCTTTAATTCTGCCAGATGGGAGTTCGAGGCCAGCCAGTGCTCCATCGGGAGCGTCTGTCTCAAAAACCAAACAAAAACAATACAACCACCAGACCCTGGAGAGAGGGGACTTAAATCTCCCGTGAGCTTGGGGGTGTGGATCACCTTGTTTCTCGATGTTCCCCAGGGCATCAGGCCGACAGCAAACGGAAGCGGAACTATCTGGGAAGATACCCCCCCCCTTTAAATATATCTCCCCCATACAATATCTTCAGGACTTTGCCTCCCCGGGTCCTCCCAGATTCTCCCCACCTCCTAACCACACAAACCAACACCCTTCTTCTCTCCCAGAAAGCAGACATATAAAATAAAATAAAAACCAGAACAGGGCAAAACAAACATTAAGAAATAAAACAGTTCGAGGCCAGCCTGGTCTACAGAGTGAGATCCAGGACAGGCTCCAAAGCTACACACAGAAACCCTGTCTCAAAAAACCAAAACAAACGAAATAAAAACAAAAAGCACAAGAAACAGAGACACACATCCATACACAGAGATCCCATAAAAACACGAGTTGGAAACCGTAATACACGACTAAAAGGCAAAAATTCCCAGACAAAATGTAAAACAAAAGCCTCCAAAATCACCATTGAGTTCACTCAGGTGACCGGCCCTCGGAGTATGGTTTGCATGCCTAGAAAGACTCCGTTAAGAGGAGACAAATTTTTCACTTGTGAGTGGTTATCAACTGGAGGGGTGGCGTCTGGGTTAGGGATGGGGGGCAAGTGTGCACGCCCCGTCGTCACTGAGACCCGGCCGGCCAGCCCTGTGCAGGCCCATGTGCTGGGCCAGTCTGAGTTCATGTGCGCTGGCCACGCTGTGTTTGGAGACCTTGTTTCCTTGGTGTCCTCCATCCCCTCAGATTTTTACCCTGCTCCTGCCTCCTCTCCTGAAGGGTTCCCTGAGCTCTGAGGGGGCGGATTTGATGGAGACAGCCCTTTTGGGACTGAGAGTCTCTCACTTTGCGCTCTGTCCAGCTGTGGGTCTGTGTTCCCATCTGCTGCAGGAGGGAGCGTCTCTGATGGTGGCTGAGCAGACACTGACCTGATTACCAGTCTGGTAGAGTAGCTCCTGGGAAGATTTTTTTTTTT